ATTAGGTGAATACCTAAATTGTCGACCAAGAAGTGTTTTGGGGTCCTGTTGGAGTGCAGGTTACTGCACACAAACATGCAGTCAGAACAATGAAAAATCCCACTGAAGCTTAAATAAGAGCAGGGCAGCCTCCATTCTACAGACCTTCCAAACCATGCACAGATCCACACACTCATACACACACACACCAACACACAAAGTCAGCAGCAGAGACCAAGGTTTGAAATTCTGAAATAAAATTAGGGAAAAGGGATAATGAAAATGGTGTTTCCTTCCTCTCAGATAAAAAGTTTAGAGGAGAAGATCCAGTGTATACTTAATGTGTTTTTCAAAAAAGTAATATGTAATACAAGAAAAAAATCTACCAGAACGAGTAAGAATTGACTTTAGAAATCTAAAAGGATTTTGCCAAGAAGAAATAGTGAATACATTTCTAGATATTAGTAAAAAATTTTGAGTGTCATTTTATAAAAAAAAGCTAGCGATATTAAAAGTTTAAAAAAAACTAAGCAATAAGTAGCAAGACATAAAAAATAGGGTACAAGTAGAAGAAAGTATAAGCTTTCCTCATCTTACACTGGGTAAATAGCAGTTTTACCATTTATAATTAGATAAACAGATTCACACGTTTTTCACTAAAAGCTAATAATAAATAGATGAAGAGAAGGTGAATGCCTTCCAAATCACTAGGGACAAAAAAGGAAACAAATATCACCAAAGAAAATTGAAAGCATAACAATAAAAAATGGCAAAATAGCAAGAAAATATAAGAATCGCATCATATTATTCTCCTATTAGAACTTAGGAAATAAAAGAATGGCAGTATTATGTTTTACATCCATTTGTTCATATCAAATTTCTGTTTGTACGAAAGTTCCCAACTCCTTCCAGCAAAGCCAGATGCCTGGGGAGATTATCACCTTACATTTAACTCCACTGAGTAGCTCCAGGTCTATCTGATTTTCCTTAACAATAATTAGTTTAGTAATGGTCAAGTGACCACTTCTGACCAATGAGATATAACAGGAAATCTAGTGAGAAGCTTCTGGGAAATCATCTTCCCTATGACACAAGTATGTAAAATTATCTCTCCTTTTCCTTGTGATGTTGTAGTGCCTGAAAGCAATGTCTGGAATTGCATTGACTGTTTGAAATCTTTGTCGCTGTCACTGATGCCCCCACAGAACCTGACATTCTGAAGCCACCATTTCACCATCTTGTAGCTATTGTGTAGTTATACTCACCCAAAACAACCTAAATGACACAGTTCTTAGTAGCTGCTATTTACAAACAAACATATTAACACTCGGAAGCTTGATAACTTAGCTATGTATGGCACATGGTAATTGGCAAAATCAGGGTGTGTCTCCAGATGTACCTCATTCTGAAGTTGTCTTCTCCAATACACCTATTGCCTCTAGCCAAGATGATGATTCGGCTCACATCATTTTATATATTTATAAAGCTTTATTAATTTCAATCCACTATTTATTCTGCTGCCTTATGGTATAGAATGTCCTAGTTATTGCATTTGGTTAAGAATAGAGCTAATCGCTATTTTTGTCTTTTCTCAATCATCTTTTTATGCTTTCTTTCGCTATACAATTGGCAAGACTCGGGTTAAATGCTTTCTAAGTGAGTGAATGAATGAATGACGGGACATACACAGCTCCCTATTCTAGCATTATCGAAATTTCTAAAGGCTATATTAACATTGTTATGCCCTCCTAATCTTTGCAGCAGAAACACTTTATTCTCTTACTGTACTTGCATTCTGCCTTGTGTGAAATTGTGCACACCTGCTTTTCTCCTAGTCCAAAAGTTCCTCAAATTTGGGATCTTTGTTATCTCTAGCGATGCCCCCACGATACCTTGCAGAGTGCTTTTACCTGGATAAAAGCATATGAAACATATGAATTAATTTAGATAGATCTTTTCAACAAAGGGAGAGATTTGAAATAGTTTGCATATGAAATCTGACATGTTTAAAATAAAAGATAGATTATAAGACATAACAAGACAGATGTTCCTCAAATAGGAAGAGGATAAAGACATGAAAGGAGGAGGAAAGAAAGGAAGGTAAAGGGATGAAAAAAGGAATTAAGTTGAGTTATGTACATGTACCAACTCCACACCAGGAATGTAAACATGGACTGCAAACATATACTAATAAACAATTCTTTTAAAAACAATGGCATCTTTGAAATCTGTTGGGATTTTCTGAGCTCTACTCATCACAGAGCAGCTCCCCTGCACTTGTTGATTTGGTGTCTTCATAAGCTTTTCAGGATTTCTATAGGGCTTAGCACCTGCACTTCAGTATGTGATACTTGTTTGCAAACAACTTTATACAGTTTGCTGACTGCTTAACAAGTATAAGTCTAACATTCTCAAAAACACATCAAGTCTAGAAGGAGAAATTTGAATACATGATCTCTGGCTAATTCTTTCCTTAGGTGTCTTTTTCTCAAGATGTGCTCCACACGATGTCTGCACAGTACAGTTCTGATTGTGATGAGAATACCTTTGTGAGAATGACACCAAATGTACATGATGGATTCCCAGATCATTGAGGCATTTTTAAAGAGGAAGCAATGTTTATGCAGTTACATCTTGACATTTTAATGCCTCACAAATGTCACTCTGAAGTGATAGAAATTATGAAACAGAAATGAGGGTGAGATATGTCTAGTTTGGCTTATTGTTTGAGTGTGATGATAAATATATCTTTTATCCCTCCATCACACTCAAATGTTTGACACAATTAAACATTATTGAAAATTTGTACCACTTCAGGTGACAACATCAGGGGTTTAGAGAACACGGGCAAAGCATAAGCATTTATTGAATTAGCCAAAACTTTAATGCCAAATGAATAGCCATTTTTTATTAGAAAAGAGTGGTTGACACATGTACAGTATGGATTCATCACAGCAGCAACATTCTAATTATAGGCTGTGAAGAGTTCTAATTGAAATAAGATTAATGAAGAGTCATGCCAACCTCCTACAATACTACGATCTGTGTGAACACTTCGTTCCTATGAGTCATTTTCTTCTCTCCAAAATAACTCAGATTAAACAGTGACTTCCAAACTAATGGCAACATTATCATCTAGATTTATTTTTTATGTCTTGCATCGTGTTCCAGAATATAGCACGCAGAGCAGGACTCATCTTGTGCCATCAGCTAATGTTGTTAAATGTCAAGCATTTAATAAAGTTAAAGGGCAGAAAAGTTTTAAACAATTTAATCTGCTTTGAAACCATTCCTTGAGAAGGCGCAGGAAAACTCATTGTTTCACTGAGTACGGTAAAGGGAGAAATGTTCTTACCAGGTCCTGAAAACATAGTTCATGTCCTTAGAAATCTAAATCTCATTTTGTATTATATATGTGTGTGTGTGGGCATGTTATATATGTATATATATGTGTGTGTGTGTGTGTGTGTGTGTGTGTATTAATGTTAGCTTGTACATATGTGTGTATTTAGGAAATGTGGGCTTAACATAGTAGAAATATATTTTGTAAATTCAAGTGTTTACAAGCCAGTGCACAGTTTCTAATAAAAGTTGTCTGTATGTCCCAGTTGTCTAAATAAGCGCTTTTATATTGACCAATGGATTAGGAAACTACATAGGCCTGCCAACTCTGCATGCTGAGAGAGAGAATCTCACTGGTAATCTTTCAATATCCTTCAGGGAAAGCATCCTCTCAGCTTGCCTCTTGTATTCTGCCATTAGATTTGGCAGACAAGATGATGCATCTCTTCTTCCATTGCCTTGATCTCCTCTTCACTATGTTGTGAGGGGACATAGAACAATTTTTTAGAAACTGAGGAGGAAACAAAAGTTTGGAATGCCATTTATAATGAAGACAAAATTGAATTTTCTAAGAAAGGATGCCAGATGGGTTGGCAATGTCAAATATCGAGTGTTTACTGAGATTCCCCTCTAAGATATACATCAGCACAGACTAGCGTGGATATGTGTGGTTAAATTTAAGTCATCACACATCTCTTTGTTTTCAGGACATACATATGATTGATGTCGTTCTTAACTATTTTAAAATAGAAATTTGACAAGAAAAGGCTTATTTTAATGAACTGTGTATCATGACCAAGGCATTGGTGATTGACTACCCTTCTGCTCCAGGAGAAAATTTCAAAGGAAAAAATATATGTATACATGGAATTATTTTTAAAACTTCTAGAGCAAGGTGACATGAACCTGAGAAATTGTTTCTTCTGATCTCTTAGGTTTTAATGACTAGCTAGCAGCATTCAATTACAAACTGATCGTTAAGAAGAAACCTAATAACCTAATTGCTATTAGCAGACAGGTAAACAACTCATATTGACATTAAAAAGTGCATGGAGGGCCATTTTATGGTTTCAAGTAAAATGTAGGTTTTCCTAAGGAAAACTAATACCACTATTTTTATAAAACTATGCTATGCCTCCTCTTCATATACATCGGAATATGGGAATAGCTACAGACTATCATACCTCATTTTTTAAAATTCAGTGCAAGTAAATCTATGAAATCAGTCATTCTCACTATGCAGGAATTATGTACCTGCCATCATTTAGGATTTCAAAAACATAAACCACCATTGGTCAAATGTTTACTTTGAGCAAAGGTGTTCAAAGAAATTGTTCTTAAAATATGTACTGAAATATCTAAAGAACATATGTATTAATATACATATTCATCCATAATTCTTTAGTCACCCAAAATATAGCAATATAAAATGTGACCAATAAGATAAATTTGACTTAAGATTTTTTTAACTGAACTACACACACACACACACACACACACACACACACATACATATTTATTTAAAAAGAAAGGTAAAAATATTTACTGAGGAAATAAGAATTTAATATAATGAAAGATTTTATATTTGTTTCAATGTAGTGTCAAATTCTTACCTTCTTTAAAAGACTCATTTAACCCATTTTTGTAACTTTGACTAAAATGTCAAAATTACTCCTCACCTTGTGCATTCTCCCAAGATGATCCCGTGTCACCTTGATCAGTTCCTCACTTAGAGTTGAAAAACACAAACACATCCACGAAATGATCAAACATCTTCCAGAAAGTTTTTCTGCTATATGTAGAAGAGTTAGTGTGAGTTTTAACTTGCAAGGAGTATCTTATCCTAACAATTATGAGGACCTGTGGTAAAACAGAAGAGAGAGCTATTAGAGTAAGAACTTTTTGAAAGCACACATTAACTCCGTGTTGTTGATGAGCAGGAGGCAGAATAGACACATCCAGAGTTTCACTAATACTTTAAGATTTCTGTGGTATCCTTTTGTAATTGTAAACATTCAAAAATGAACCTTAGTGAAGAAAATGTAGATACTAAATTCTTTTATCAAAATCATAATCAGATTTGAAAAAATTAATTTCTACCTGGAAATAATTTTAATATACACTTATAAGGATTTAAAAGGTTCTAAAAGAAACCTTGTCAATGCCTTCTCAAAGGGAATCCTAGGAGAGTGATAGGGGGATTTGAATAGATCAAAGTGTGCTATCTGCATGTACAAATCTGCCAAAATGAAACTCATTAATCTGTAAAGCCGATACAAAAAAGATTGGGGAAAAACTTTTCGGGTGTCACAACCAACCATCTCAGGTAGAATTCTATTAATTTTGTCCTTGATATTGATGTCTTGACCCAGAGGGAAGGGAGAGGACCAGGTGACATTCCCCCTAAACATCATTTTAGAGACATTGGTATCTTCCCCTCGCCTACCAGTTACCTCTTTGTAGCATTTAATATGCCCGTGTTTAAGACAATATAAAATAATCATGTTCTTTCTGGTCTTCAGTGTAAGTCCTCGCCACTTTGCAAATTTATTTTCTCTTGGTTTCCTCTTTGGAGACAGAGAACAGCTGGTTGCCATCTTCCAAATGCTGTAACAATCCCTCACGTATTTGAAGATAGTAATTAAGTCAGCCTCTCAGCCTTCTCTTTTCCAGAAACACAAATTCCTTTTAAACACAAATTATCAAAAAATTGCCACAGCAGTGAATGTAAAATTGTTATTACACAGACTTTCTCTGTCAACTCCTTTTGTTTCTGTAAATACTCCTCCAAAAGAAAAGGAAGAATACTGCTTTGATGAATTTGAGTTCCAGCTGTGTGGCCTTATCCTCTTTCATACATAATATCACCAGGGAACTTGGGTTCCCCGTTAACCTCCCACGAACACTTTGCATTTCTCAGGTAAAATTATGTGACTTTTACCTCCCAGTCACTTTTCACTCTACCTCCACCCCCTCACATTCTAAAAGGAGAAAACACTGAGGCGCGGGTTCTTAAGCAGCCTCAAGAGCACAGCCCCAACTATTACTTGAACCAAATGTACCATTCTCAGCTGAGTGAGATCTTCTCATAGAGTATTAGGATGGCAATAAAATTTTATAACAACCCAAGTTCTCTTTTAACACTCATCGAGTAGAAATGTGTTAGAAAAACTCAGACTTTACTGGCCATATGATCCTAGGTAAGGCACTAATCTACACTTTCTTCATCTGCACTATGGGCATAATAATTACCCATAGAGTTGTATTAAACTCATGAAATACTGTCTTACTTACCATAGCGCCTGAAAAAAATTCTTCTCTGGCACCCAGGTGGCATTTTCATTCCTCCGTGCAGTGTTCCTCATGAAAGTACAACGAATTAATGAATCCATGCTCCTGGGTCATGTTTTCGCATTTAAGGAGGAGCTCTCTGGAATTTTAGCACAACAAAAAGAGTGACTCTCATGATAAGCCTTCCAAATAGCAATTCAAACTTGTAAGGACAATGTTTTAAGGAAATGTTTTTATTCCACGCATAGGGCAAGCCTCCACAGCTGTGTGATTTCACTTCCTATGTGAAGTGTAAACATGCTCATTTAGAGACAAGTATCCTCAATCTCAGTGATTCTGAGTAGTTTATAACAGGTTTTTTTTTCCTCTGAAATACAAATTATATATTTTTGCATTGTATTATTTCCCACTGCTAAAAAGAGGATAACCCTAATCTTGGGAAGATTTGACATGACACTTTACCTGCAGCATATATCTAGAATATTAATGCAACAACCCTTTACTTCATTTTGCTTTGAATAAAGTAAGACAGTTACTCTTCATGAGAACAGACTATTTCACATTTGAAAAAGTTGAATTTTCTTATATGGATATAATTTAGCTATTCGTATTTGTTCTCTCTTGTTTTTCTTCTTTCTTGGGAAAAGAACTCCATCCTCTGTGAAGAGATTAATAAATAATTATTTGAGAGGCCAGGGATTTAGCTCAGTGGTGCTTCTGCCTGCTGCACAAGTGCAAGGTTCTGAGTTCAATCCCTGGTACTGAAAAATAAGAATGATAATTTTAAAATAATTATTTGATAATATTTTTGCATCAACTTGGCCCAAGTTAATGGATGACTCTCAGAATTTCACTAGTCTAGGATTTGTTAGCTTCCGGCTGCCCCTGGATAAAGATTGATGGCCACTCCAATGATAACTTCAATAACTATAAAACTATGAAGAAGTTGATGAAGAGATCTCATGTAGAAAACAGTTATCATTTCTATTTTAAAAAAGAGAGAGGAAAATTAATTTTCTAAGCAGGCAAGCTAAATGGATTGATCAACTACCAGACAAAACACTTTGATTTAGAAATACTATTTCTAAAGTAAGTATCTAAAATTTCAAATACTAAAAGTCATTACTTACCTAGAACTCTTGTCTTTTTGTCTTTAAAAATGCAAGGAGTGTGTGCACGTATGACATATAGGAAATGTGGGAACTATGAAGATATTGCACATATTTAAATATTCTCCCTTTTTAAATGTCAATTTTAGTTAAACTGCTACTAGCAACTTTTCCATTTTTAACAAGAAATGCTAGTAGCTTTTAAACAAGTTGTGTTTTGCTTATGAAGTAATCCACCTCAAAATGTCCATTTTGGGCCATCAACCTAAAAATAAACTGCTGAAATAAATGAACAATAATGAGTATAAAAATCTTGACATCAATTAATAAACTAGACGCATTTTACCTAAGTACTTTGGTGGTGTTTTCCTACTCTCTTTGGCAATAGGTATTTCATTAAAAGAGGGAAGTAAAAGGACATCTATTTCACTTAAAATTTGCTAATCAACATACCACAGAATCTCACTTTCTAGAGTTCTATAATTCTGTTTGTAGTTCAGTCTGAGTCACCTCTTCCTTTGCATCTTCAGAACTGTGTGCAGGAAGCAGATGACTAGTGTTATGGTTTGCATCTAAAATGGCCCCCCGTTCTCATGTGTTTCAGAGGTGATTGGATCATAGGGTCTCTGAACTCAGTGGATGCACCCATTGATGAGTTCAATACCTGATTGTGCCGTGAACAGGTGGAGTTTGATGACAAGAGGTGGATCACTGGGGTGGTGAGCTAGATGGATATATTTTTCTCTCTATTTCCTCCCTTCTCTCTTTGTTCCACGCAGCCGTAAGATAACTGGCTATCCTCCACCTAGGCAATTCCTCTGTTCTTTTTCTGCCTTGGAGCAGCTGACCATGGACTGAAACTGAACCAAAATAAACCTTTTCTCCATAAATGGTAGGTGTCTGCACTCCCATCAACAATGGAGAAGGGTTCCTTTCTCCCCACAACCGCACCAACATTTGTTATTGTGTGATTTCTTGATAGCAGCCATTCTTTGTGGGGTGAGGTGAAATCTCAGTGTTGTTTTTATCTGCATGTCTCGAATGACCAGTGATGTGGAGCATTTTTCCATATATTTACTTGGTGCTTTTATTTCTCTGTCTGAGAAATGTCTGTTCATTTCAGATGCCCACTTTAGAATTGGGTGCAACCACTATGGAAGTCAATATGTAGATACCTCAAAGAACTAGGATTAGAGTTTCCATTTGACCCAGCCATCCCTCTGTTGGTTATCTTTCCAAAAGAAGTGGAAGAATCATACCACAGTGATATATGCGCACCCATGTTTATAGCGGCGCAGTTTGTAATAGCTAAATCTTGGAAACAGCCCATCTGCCCATCAAATGGAAACTGGATAAAGGAGATATGGTTTTTCTATAAAATGGAATACTACTCAGCCATAAAGAATGAGAAAGTCGATTCATACATAGGCAAATGGGTACATTTTGAGGATATACTTCTAAGTGAAATAAATAAGGCACATATATGCAAATACCAAATAGCATCTCTGGTGAGAAAAACTAAAATAGTGCTCAAGATCCTAATCAGACAATTACCAAAAAGGAAGAAAAGAACCAAAGGTGCAGGGACAGTGAGAAGGATAGGGAAGGGGGAATAAGGGAAAAGGAAAAAAATATGAGAAAATATAAAAATGGAATTAAAGTGTTTGAAGGGGGAAGGGGAGGGGAGGAGGAAGGGAGGGTTGGGGACAAGGGTAAAAAATGAGAACCAAGACCTGTCATGTAAAGGTACAAGATCCCAGTAATGAATGTGACTGTACTGTGTACCTAGAATGTACCAATAAATTCAATTTTAAAAAAATTGTGGGTGTCGAGTGCCATGTTTCAGCAACAAGAAAGTAAATAAGACAACTGAAAATTCCATAACTAGTTGAGATGGCTGAACAGAAAAAGTTTAGGATTTCAGAAGGTCAAACTCAGGCCAGCAAGAAAAGTAAAGAATATCAACAGATTTGTTAAAGTAACCTCTCCTACTGTTTCAGGCAGCAAGCAGTTCATTTAATTTGTTTGATTGACCATTTGTTTTGTTAATGTTTGAAACTTCCATTCTGTGCTCCCTGCATCGTTCCTTCTGCCTTTCAACCTCTGTAATTAATTGTAATTTCAAAAGAGGTAGTAGCAGGAAAAGTTGTTCCCAGTACTTCCAAAATGATTCTCTATATCTGGCTTCAAAGCCTCAGATTTTCTTGGATGTTCTCAATCATTTATTTAGTCAATTAGTTTTTCCATATTTTTCTACTTATTCAGGACTTGCTTTCATCAGATATTTTACAATTAATTTTATTGGTATATTTAAGGTATACAATATAATGACACCTGTTATTGGAAGTTTGTACCTTTACATAACCAATCTTGGTTCTTATTTTTCCCCATCCCCCTGCACTCCCTGGAACCCCTCCCTCCCTCCCTAGCTACAAAAACTTTGCTTCCTTTTTCATTTTCTCATATTAATTCCATTTCCTTCTTTATTTTCCCCTGCCCCTCTCATTCCCCAGACCCTTTGTCCCCTTTCTGCCTATTTCACATTATCGATTATACATTTTAGTCCTTATTTACACTTTCAGTTTCTCACCCTAAAGAAATGATTCAGTATGTACATGTGTGTCCTATTTATATCACTTAAGAGGATGGCCTCAATGTGATCCATTTAGCTATAAATATCTCTAATTTCTCATTTTTTATAGCTGAGTAGGGCTCCATTAAACACACACACGCACACCCACATGCACACGCACACGCACATGCATGCATGCACGTGCACGCATTTTCATTATCCAGTCTCCTGTTGATGGGTAGTTGGGCTTCTCCCAAGTTTCAGCTATTACACATTGTGCTGCTATAAACACGGGTGCACATGTATCACTGTGTTACAACTCTTTTAATTCTTTGGGGATGATACCCAGCAGGGGAATAGCTGGGTCAAATGAAACTTCCAATCATAGTTCTTTGAGGTATCTCCATACTGATTTCCACAGTGGTTGCACCACTCTACACTCCCACCAGCAGTGGAGCAGGGTTCCTCTTTCCCCATAGTCCCACCAGCATTTATTAGTGGTTAATTTCATGATAGCAGCCATTCTTTCTGGGGTGAGGTGGAATCTCAGGCTTGTTTTCATCTGCATCTATCGAATGACCAGTGATGCTGAACAGTTTTTCATGTGTTTATTTGCTATTTCTACTTCTTTGTCTGAGAAATGTCTGTTCACTTCAGATGCCCATTTTTGTTGAGTCTTTAAATTTGGGAGGTCTGATTTTTTTAAAGTTCTTTATATAGTCTAGAGAGTAGACCTTTTTCTGAGGAACAGCTGGTGAAAATTTTTTCCAATGTCGTGGGTTGTCTCTTCACGTTGTTGGTGGTTTGACTTGCTGTGCAGAAGCTTCTTAATAGTAAGAGAAATTCTCATTTGTTGATTGTGCTAGTTCATGGGCAACTGAAGTTCTGTTCATAAAATCTTTTCCTATACCAATGCTTTCAAGAAGTCTACCTAACTACTCTGCCAGCCAGTTAGTGTTCTGTTTTAATATTTAGATCTTTAGTCCATTTTGATTTTAGTTTAGTACATGTTGAGAGATACGGGTCTAGTTTTCATCTTCGGCAAATTGAAATCCTGCTTTTCCAACATCATTTACTAAAGAGCCTATATTTCCACCAGTGAGGGTGTTTGGCTCCTTTGGCAAATATACTGGCTGAGTGTGTCTGGAATTGTTTCTGCATCTTCTAATCCATTTCACTGATGCTCAGGTCTGTTTCTTTGTCAGTACCATGCTGTTTTATCATAGTAGCTTTGTAGTATAGTTTCAAGTTGGAGATTGTGATACCTCTTAACTTGTCTTTATTGCCTAGAATTGCTTTAGCTATTCTAGTTCTCTTCTCATTCCAAATAAATTTTTGGATTGTTTTCTCAAGGTCTGTGAAGTATGCTACTAGAATTTCAACTGGGATTGCATTGAATCTATATAGCAGTTTTGGTAGTATGGCCATTTTCACTATGCTGATTCTTCCTACC